TATATATATATATATATATATATATATATATATATAAAGATAATACTTTTGCTTTATATAATTCGATTGTTTCGATTGTTTTTTTTTTAAATAAAGTAGACCTTGAAACGGAATAACTACAATTTTAAAAGTAACAACAAATAATTTTGCCAAAATAAAGTTCAAACACAAGAATCTAGTTCGATCATTTTTTTTCGCTATAGTGCAATCTGACAGCCACTAATGTGCAACACATCTAACGTTAATGTGCACTCTAAGTGAACTAAGTTTTTAAGGACTTGTCCAAAACCTAAATAGCCTAATAATATTAATATATATTATAAAAATATATAGTATTTTAATATTTGTACTTATATTTCATATTATTTTCTATTATAAAGACCTAATATATATACAACAAAATAATATTTTTTTATATAGTTCGGTAGTTTCAGTTATTTTCAAGTACAAAGAAACTAAAATTTTAAAAGTAAAAATAAATATTCGACCGAACATATAAAATTCGAACCCAAGATTATGTATGAATGTTTAGGCCGATATAGTGCAATATGATGATTGCTAATGTGCAATACTTCTATTATTAATATGCACTCTAAGTGCAACTATTTTTTATAAAAAAATATATTTATTATTTAAATCTTTTTATTTAATACTTATATTATTTATAGTTCAAAATATAAAATACTTGTTATATTTTATAATGTGTAATTTAATTTATCAAAATAATTCATTGTTATATTGTAAATTTATATTTTATATTTTAATAAGTTATTTTAATATTTTATGGTATTTTTTGTGATTTAAATTTAAAATAATATATGTGTATAAAGTGCAATATCAAATACCTTATTGTGCTGCGTGTAGATGGTGGGGTCGTCGGAGATTGTTGGGTCGGTGCTGTGCGGTGCGGTTGTCGGCGATTGTCGACGATTGTCGAGCTGGGATGCTTGCTCTGGTTCGGAGTCGTCGGTAAACGCCGGGCTCAGGCTTTCTGTTTGGCCTGTTGTCTTTTCTCTGGGTGATAGTGGGGGTTCGTCTGAACGAGGATTGGGCCAACCCGTGGATCCTCGATTCAGTAAGGCGTCTCTGCTGTTTCTGGTTCGGGATTTTGGGCTCGACTCTGTCATGGTTGTGCTCGGTGTGGCTTTGCGCTGTGTGAACGGCTCTCGTAGGTGTTTATTTTGTCTAGTCTCGTTTTGCTTTGTGTGTGTTCGTGGTGTGTAGTCTAGTTTCGTGTTGTTTTATTTCTTGTGTCCGTGTTTTCGGTTTGTTTCAAAAATGAATAATGGCTAGGCATTGTGCAGTGGCTCTGTTTTTTATTTTCGTTTATTTTTCGTTTCTGGAGTTCTCTAGGCTGCCTTGTGCGTGTCCTCTCAGTTTTTATTTCTGTTTGTTTTTAGGTGTGTTTTTGGTTTGGGTCGTTGGCCCCTGTCTCATTACCCTGTTGGGGCCATTAGATTACCCTGTTGGGGTCTTGTACTTTGTTCTTTTTGCACTTTTGTGCTCTTATATATTATCTCTATTGTTCTGGAAAAAAAAAATACCTTATTGTGCATATTTTTTTATCATTATTGTGCATCCTAAAATACAAACATTTTTTAAGGTGCATATACACAAGCACTACATCTTTTACTATTAGTTTATTAATATGTATTTATCATATTTTTTATAAATTTAATATTGAATCCAAGTACCAAATTGTAATATAATTAAAATTAAAGAAATTGCATATAGGTCCCTTGGATGGATCTAATTTACAAAACTAAGCCCCTAGCATAAAAACTTATTGGCCCTTCAGACCACCCCTCCTGTCGCCGCCGTCCCGACCACTGGAGGATCGCCGATCGGATCCACCAAGTTCAGCCACCGTTCTTGCTTTCGAACCACCAGAAAACACACGATTTTCGCCATGGCTGGATGAGCTGAACAAGGCTTTCACGTCCGACCACCTTATCTGTCCATATTGTGAATTTCTGACCACGAGGAGTTTCTTCAGGCACCGGATAACTTGTTTTTGTTGCCAGGACGTCCGACATCTAAATTGTGCTCGTGAATTTTGAGCTTTGCATCAATGGCCGATTTTGACTTGGAGACCATGGCTTCATATTTCTCGGCGGAAATTGGTCATCTGGATCGTCCGTCGTTGTGGAGAAGAACCTGCTCGATGGCGGCGGCAGCACCGTCGAGAACGGCAGCGGGCGGTGGCGAGGTCGCGGACGGAAGGCCGTCTGTTTCTCGGAGGTGACAGCTAGACGGAGGATGATGTTAGCCGGTGTCGGTGGTGCGCGCCGTTCGTCGGGCTGCTAACGGATGGGCCGGATTCACCGGATATGGGTGCTGGCGGTAAGGAGAGAGTGACGGCCTGCGAGAGAGAGAGAGAGAGAAAGAGAGAGAGAGAGAGAGAGAGAGAGAGAGAGAGAGAGAGAGAGAGAGAGAGAGAGAGCTCAACATAGAGAGAGTGAGCAACGATGCGGGTGAGTGGAATTATGATGTGGGGTACATTGATAAGATTAGGTTTTGTGGGATGTAAGGTGTAAAATGTCTCAAATACCCTTAATGATGATATAATGTTGACTCTTTTCTTGGCTGTTGGATTATATGATCTAATGGCTGAAATTTATTCTTATTTCTTTCCTAGAGCGCCATTCTTACCGGAGCGCGACCTCATATATATATATATATATAATAGTGCCATGTTTTATTATTTCTAACTAAGTGTCCAATTCAAAACTTCAATAAATTTGTTACCTAATCTGTAGGATATCCACAAAAAAATTCAAACAATTCACATTGAAAAGAGTTTACATAGTCAAGATTTGGGAGGGAGGACATCGGAAGACATATTTCCAGTGAATTTACAGTCCGACTACTTCTTTACTGTTCTTATATACTCTAATATAATAGAATCACAAGATTGTTAATCATCAAATCAACAAAAAATTATTTCATATTCTACAACACACGTTAGCTCATTGATAAAATATTATCTATAAAAAGGGTCTATAACTCAGTAACGAACTTCTTCCACATTTTCTAGTCTCGTATTTTATTCATTCAACCTTTTCAAAATGTCAAAACACTGGGGTTCTCTCAAGCCAGTCTAAAACTTAGAGCCATCTGCTTATTTAACGCAATTCGATGCAAATATAAGAACGTTTTGAAAATATTTTTCATGCACGGAGTCTCTTGGCTGCTCTCTTGATTGTTTGAATTCTTGCTTACGTAGATCTCTTGGTACGAACCTCCCAGTGCTCAAGTTTTTCTTCATTGAAATCTTCTTCGATACAGCTTGGTATACCTCAATAATTGGGTCATGATAAATTTCCATATAATCCCGACAAAAAAAAAAAAGAATATTATAGGAAGATGAGCGGATCGACAATTTACAATGTGTTAATATGCTAAAGGTTTAATGTAAAGTATGAAAACATTAAATGTAGCCACTACGATACCATATCTTCGTTGCAATTACAATATGTTAATATCCTAAAGGTTCAGTTATAGTATGAAAACATTGAGATGTAGCCACAACGATACCACATCTTTGTTTATTGTGAATAATTAACGTCTTCTAATGCTTTGTTCCGAAAAATAATCACCCTTTGCAAAGGTTCTCACCCCTCTCTATGTTTTTGCCTTGAAAATGACTACCAATTGTAAAGACCATCTCGTCTCTCAATGTTTTGACCCGAAATGAACACTCTCTGCAAAGTTCTCACACTTCTCCATGTTCTGATCCAAAATTAACCACTCACTACAAATACCTCATGTCTCTCATTGTTTTGACCTGAAATGACCACTCTCTGCAAAGGTTCTCAAACTTCTCCATTTTCTGACCTGAAATTAACCACTCACTACAAAGACCCGTACGTCTCTCAATTCACTAACTTCCTCATTTGGTGATGATTATAATATGCTAATTATTAATACTCTTTGTAAAAAAAAACAAGAAGTGATTACTTTTGTTATCTCTAGTAATAACATTGATGGGTCTCTTCTCAGATCTGGAGTGAATCAATGGAAACAAGCTCAGATCTGAAATGAACCGATGAGAATGAGCTCAGATCTGCCTCGATCGCCTTTAAACCATTGCTGAACCGCGAGAACACCTGCAAGAACTCAACGCCGTAGGGGTTTCCGGCGTAGAGCCTCCGACGCTCAAGTCAGTATGTGAAAGAGATGAAGAGAGCTGCTCTGAGAGAGCAACAACAGTAATGGAAGAAAGTATAGAATGAATGGGAGTTAAGGTTTTGGGGTTACCTTAGCTCCTTTATATAGGAGCAAAACATTTACCTGAAGTTCCCAAAATGCCCCAACCGACTTACTGGAAATGTCCAAAATACCCTGGTCGGTTCGCATTCTGTCCACTTCCTAGTGAGCATCTAGATTCCTTCTCATCCTTAATAGCTTCCTTCTTATCCTTGACAGCTTCCCTATGATATGTTGAAGTATACAGGAATCGTCGGAGATCTATGAGCCTCGAGACTCCCTAAGTCAACTCGGGATATCCACTCGAGTCGACTGGGCCATCGATATGTTGAAGTATACCGGAATCGTCGGAGATCTATGAGCCTCGAGACGCCCTAAGTCGACTCGGGATATCAACTCGAGTCGACTAGACCATCGATATGTTGAAGTATACAGGAGTCGTCGGGGAACTATAAGCCTCGAGACGTCCTCAGTCGACTCGGGTTATGGACTCGAGTCGACTGTACCATCTTCAACTGTCAGTGGACCCTGACAGACCGGAGATATTACAAGTCCGCGAGAAGAGTCGACTTTGGGTAAATCGACTCGATAATATCTGAACCGTTATACGACAGTATGACTATATCATCTAGTCCCCCCAAAAATTACTCGAAGCGATTCTGAGCTTAAGAGTAAGTTTTGACGATTGAGTATCTTGCTTGGATATTTTCACATATCTTGCCGCTTGTCGTTGTCCTAAGTCGTGTCCATCTGTTATTTCGACTCATAAGCGGCTCATCTGCCCTATGAATTCCGCATTGATTGGATAAGTCTGGATTTTCCAAGTTTCAAAATTCAAAATGATTTAGAATCTGACAAGACATTGTCTCTCTCCAACGCTTCGTATTCCGTGCGTTATCTCATCCGTTGGATACGCCTTTAATCTGAGGGCTAGGGTTTCTCTACTTTTCCTATAAATGCCCTCTTCCTCTCCCATTTCTCACTTTTCGCACTCTAAGTTTTCTCGAGCTTTCTCTCTTTTCTCCGGCAATAAGAGCATCACAATTCTCCGGCATTCTATCCTTTTTCCGGCGCTCCTCTCAAGCCTTCTACGAGACTTTCCTGACGATCATCATGTGTAAGCTTTCTTTATTACTTGCGTGCGGTTTCTTTGTTTCTTGCAATTTTTCCTTCTTTTTGCTTTTTTGGGTAATATGCTCGGGATTCATATGTTCATCAGATTTTCTGGGGTTTTTAGATATCCTGGCGATTTTTCCTTGTTAGATCTTTAATTGCAGATTCTTCATCTCCCCAAGTGTTTTCGTTCGTCCGTCACTTTGATATGAAAAATTGACTTCTTCGACTTGACATTCATATGCCAAGTTGAGTCGAAACAGGAAATGTTTTTCTCGTTTCCTCCCTTCTCTTTTTTTTTGCTGTCGAGTCTCTTCTCGCGCTTTCCTGGTTCCTTCATTGACCCATATCTTTTGAAGTTGAATCGCGGTCGTAACTATCCACATCTATTGATTGTCGCTCTCTTTTATTTTTAGATTCCGACTCTGACCCTGTTTCTGGATCTCTTGCCCGCGAAATTGACAACTACTCGAGTTCTGATTCTGTACAAATAGTCTCTGTCGGACCGCGCGCTGACCTAAATGTCGAGCCCGAGAACTCTGTTCATTCCACGGTCTCGTCTATTGGAGTCGACAGGGATGTGTACAATCAAGCACTGCTGTCCGGCACACTGTTCGAGGATCCTGAGACCTCTCGTACTCTGGGATCTCCTTGACTTAATTCAAATCCCTCGAGGTATCCCTCTTATGCTACTAGATATCCCCGTGTATAGAACAAGTCCTGTACATTCATTAATAAAAGCTCCTTCAGTCGAGTCTGTAACTTTAGCCTGTCCTGTAGCGAAGTTAGCTGTTCTTAATCTCTTTTGTTATGCCCCTGCTGCCGAAATCGATGGCTTCAGAGAATACAGTGGCCTTCCCTCCGACTGGGATTTGGTTGCTCCTACACCCAATGACGACTTCCGACATCCTCCCGCGGCTGCTTTACCTTTTTCGTTGATCAAATAATGTCGGGACTGCGCTTCCTGATTCAACATGAGCTTCTATCGCTGAGTAACTTATTTGATGTACCCATAAACCAATTTACCCCCAACTCTATCCGAATAATGGTGGCCTTCATAGTCGTCACCCGCATAGTTTTAGGTAGTTTTATACCTGATTTTTTCCTTTACTGTTACGGTTATAGGTTTAGCAAAGACGCCCACTGCTTAGGTCGTTGTGTAGGGGTGTCTTTCCTTGACGATCTTTCTTCCAACATTACTGAGTGGAAGAAGAAATATTTCTTTATTCGACCTGCTCCTGGCCAATATCCTTTTTCCAACGAGTGGCTCACCAGTAAGGTGCAGCAGCGTAAGCGCCCTTGTTCTTCGCAGTTTGCGGATATGCTGAAGGAGTTAAATAAGCACGTTTGGAGTGCCCGTCGATTGACTAAGGATATCTCTCTGCTTAACCATGTCGGGATCTGTGTCGACAAGAGTATTCCTCGACTCAATGACCCTCGTAAGATTCTTCGTTTGTATCGGTTTATGTTTAGACTTACTGCCACCCATCTGGCCACGTGTTTTTGTGTTTGTTTATTGTTTTCTTTCTCGACGTATTATGTATGGCTCATATGTTTATGTTTTCTTTGTATAAATTATCTTCTATGTCGACAGTGAAAGCTCTGGCTCGCTTCGAGAAGTAGAAGGCCGAGGCGGCCAATAAGTTCCTGCCCACTCTGCTCCTCCCCCGAGGTCCGAGGGAGGTTCGGGCTCTGTTGCTCAGATTGCAGCAGTCGAGACGACTGCCGTCAAGAAATCAAAAGTTGTGCTTCCTTCGGCTTCTAAACCGGTTCAACCATCGGGTTCTCAGTCCCGCAAAAGGCCTCAGGATGAGAGGGGCGCGACTCTGGTGCCCGAATCCCTGAAACGCCAAAAAGAGAAAGAGCCGATGGTAGGGAAAGACGCGGGGCAATCGTCTCCCGTGAAGGTGCAACCCGTAACCCTGCAACAGCCTTCTTGGCTTTATGACAACCCCGATCCCCTTCAAATTCTAAACTACCTCCAG